AAGAGACATGAAGAGTCAGAGATGTCCAGAAGTAAATGAAATCAGATTTTGGGCTTTAAGCATGTGTTGCTAAGGGTGCAGCATACCCATGCAGCTCAGAGAGCTATCAAGATAGATATTTGAAGGTTTGGTTTGGACAAACTGTCAAAAATCTGTCCATCCACTTACAAGCCTCCCACATATGAAAATGGGGCAACCAGCACCAAGGGCTTCCTCCAGTAAGAACACACATTTCCACTTCAGTACTTTGGTAAGTCACAAGTGGGATGAGAAAGAATTTCTCCAGAAATGCAAGGAAGGCTGGCTTGGAGAAGTAGCCAGTGGTTCACATGTTACCACTAACTGGTGCCAGGAAGCAGCCAACCTGTTATGGTGACTAATTCAGCAGGCACTTTAGAAATGAGACCACAGTGGTTCAAAGTTTAAATTATATTGAGTTATAATTTCATTGGTCCACAATCATGAAGTAAACACTTCATAAATTAGTGGCACTAATCATGTTTTAACCTGATCTAACCAGCAGTCTCCCTGCTGGAAAGTGTGGAAAATATGAACAGAGCTTGCCCGACTTTTCCAAAGATGTTTCAGACCCTAGCCCTTCTTCCAAGTACACATCCAAGCCCTTCCAGAAGGCTGCTCTCTCTTCCTGGGGGAACTCTGTCTCCCTTGCCTTAAAAGCAGGTCAGGTCTCATCTGCACTTCTACAATGCTTAGGCACTGCAGTGTTATTCCCAAGTCCATTGCCAAAGCAGACCTGCCTCTGATGCTTAAAGTTTTCTGTAGAACTTTTCCCATCACAGGAGGAGAGGTGATTTTCTGCTGATTTCCTATTCAGCACCACAGAGGCAGACTCCGAAAAGCCTATGAAAGGCAACTGAATGAATATACTGTTCCCTCCAATTGTGACTCCACCATTTCCTCTCATTACTCTAATAGAAACAAATCTTTCTCATCTCAGCCCTATTACCTCACACAAAGGAAAATGGTATGTAATCCTGTTAGAACTGGGCTGCTGCTGGACACATTTTAAGGTCATTGTTCTGGGATGCAGTCTCCACTCTGTGACTGGGAGAAGTGGGAAATGCAATTACTAGGCTATTCAAATCCCTAGAATGAAACCCTGCCATTAATAGGCAAAAGCCAGAGAGAAAAAGAGCCATTGCTTTATGAAATTACAGGGTTTGGCTAAATTAGAGTCTAATCAGCACCTCAGTAAAGGAGCAGGGTTAGCTCCTACTGCCATCCCTGGAGTTTCTTCATGTCACTCAACCTGATATTTGGCATCCCCAAAGGAAACCCAACCTGCAAGATGGCTTATGTCATGAAGCCGGCGGTCTGCAAGTCCAGCGGAGACAATGGTGAAGGATTTATTCTGTCCTTTGACATGGGAAAGCCCTTAGAGTTCAGGAACAGAAATCTGCCTGCTGCTGCCATCACCTCATCCTGTACTTTGGCTCTGAGTTTTTTGGCAGAATCTGGGATCAAATCTGTCTGTTAATATTCATGGCCTACAGCACCAGTTTTGCTAATTGCTGGTGCAACCCAGCTAAGCAGCCAGGTGGGAAATTTGCATTGCTAAACTCATAGAGCTGCAACTTCCCCACAAGGAATTCACACACTGGAGAAGAGAAGGGGGCTAGCCCTGCTTGTGGCAGTCAGTGAAGCAAAGCAGAACAAGATGAGTGGGAATAATCTCAACCACCTCATTGAGTTGGCTTCTGTTGAGTGGTTAGACACTGACATGTCCCTAATCACTCCCATCCATGTGAAGCCAAGGCATTTTTGACTGACAGCAAAGAAGGAGTGAGAAATCTTGCAGAGAAGTGTTAGGGAAGAACACACAAGAACAGCAATGACCATCACAAACCACAAGCAGAGACAAACTTTTGTCCCAGATTGTTCCTGTCAGGCAACCTCCAACTGTTATTCCATTCCATTCTGCATTTGCTTCTCCTCCTGCCCCTCTCTTGAGCTGTATGGCTGCTCCTGCTGGTCTCTCCTGCAGTCAGACAGCCACTCATCTTACTGTTTTGATGTCCCTCCTTCTCTGCTGTGTTTTTTCCCAGTCTCCCAAGGGATTCCTGTCCCACAAGAGGAGTCTGGTCTCCTGATGAAAACAGAACCGTTCTTGCAGGTCCCAGACAGAAGGGATGTGGGCTGAGGGACAGTTCCTGCTAGAGGAGAAAGCAGCTGATCACCACTGGAGTCTCCAAGTCCCTTGAAGAGCTGAGAGTCACTTCCCTGTTTATGCTCTTTATTAGTCCCTATTCTCTTTAATCGGCTTAGACTGATGAGCCGAGGCAGCGGTAGGGATCAGCCGGGCTGTTTAATTAAAGGATTGCAGCTCAGCCTTGCAGTTTGGGGGTTTGTGTAAATGAGCTGCAAGTACATTATTTAATCTGCTGTGCAGAGAGGAGTTGGGGCATTAATGAAGCAAACTCTAATTAAAACTAGATGGCTGATGGTTATTAGTGGCATCAGTTCTGACAGGATTTATCACATTTAGGGAAACCATCAGGAAGGGGAAAAGAGAGAATAAACCCGAGCTGGTCTATCAGAATTCACAGCAGCACCACTTGTGACTGGCTGTCCATTCGGTGGGACTCGGAAGAGCTGCACAGGGAGCCCCTACGTACCAGGCTCTCCCACCAGGAGCCCTGATGAGCTTATTTAGGGACATGCTTGGCTCACCCAGGAACTGATTGCCTATTCAGGCTGTCTGACCCACATATTTCAGTCTTGATTGACTTTTGTTCTGCCTTGGTTCAATGGGGAACCTGTTCCTGATTTGAGCAAGGTGACAGACTCTGTAAATGATATGATGAGCTTCTCCTAGAAGCCTGAGCCATTCCAGAACACCACATGGGCATCAGCTCCATGCTGACTCTGTGTTTTTCCCTCTCTGACACACTTTTGCCTTCCTCATTGCATTGTATATGTGGCTTGGGACATGAAGGAAGCCCATGGCTGATTGCAGGACCTGGCAGAGACTAGGAGATGTTTAATGGCAAGCATAAAGCTAAATAGTGAGTTTAATAACTCTCTGTGCCTGTTTCTCACCTTCAAATAGCCACGATGGCTTCAACCATCTTTATCTCTGCATAGAATATTGTGTCACACACAGACGGATTCAGGACTGCTGCTGGGGTCTAGAGGCACTAGAAATGGCAAGGACACAAGAAAGACTGAGGAAAAATGTAAGGAATGCATGAGGCTTGCAGTGTGGGACAAGCTACCAAAGGCATCAGATGGACAGGCACAGATCAGTACAGGAAGCCCAGACGCAACATGCTCCAGGGGCCATTGTCATTCATCCCCAGTTCAGGATTTCCTGGCTCAGACTCATCTTCAGATGCAACTTGCCAAAGTTGTTAAATTACTGAAACAGGTGATCACTCTTTCAATTTACCTGTCAAATCCCAGCAGAAGGAGGGCAGACAAACTCAGGCTCAAGGGATAGGCAGTGCCTTTGGGAATCAGCAGGACAAAAGGATGGCCTGATAAATAACATGACAAAAGTGATCCTAGAGCTTAAGATTGTATGACTGACAGCCTTGTAGAATAAGAACACTCTAGAAACTAAGGGATCTGATCAGGAATTAGATGGAGGCTGGAACAAGAATGGGGCAGGGTCAAGGATGAGGGTATAAAGATAGAACACTATGGCAAAACTGATCCCTAGTTCTAGACAAACTAGAGCACTTAAACAAAACTCTCTCACTCCAGAAATGTAAGGGAGAGGTGGCTTTCCCTACCACAGAAATCTCCGTGGTCACCTCCTCTGCTGGCTCCTTTTCCTTGCCAGCATCTCCCCATCTGCCATGCCAGGGCTGTCATGCAAACTTTGCCAATGCCTGAAAGCCCTCAGCACAGACTGATCATGGGTGTTAACCCTTCCATCTGCATACACAAATGGGCAGCAGAGGCTCTGCTTCTTTACCCTGTCTCCAAGTGTGGCCAAATCCTACTTTTGAGCATACACGCCCACCCACCCCTGTTCTCTTCACACTTTTTCTCAGCAGGAAATCAGAAACCACAGTCTGCTCCAGTGAGTAGAACAAGAGAAATATAATTTTAAAAATGCAGTAGCCTCACTACTGCAATTCAGCTGCTCAGTTCTGTTCAGAGCCCTGCTAGTGACTCAGGCTTTTTACACGGGTGCCAAAGGTCAGATGAAAAAGTCTAGCAGTGTGATGAGAGAAATCTTTAAAGAGAAACCTCTTTGCTGTTGTCAGAAGGGTGACGAGGCCTGGAAGAACAGAGCAGGTCTCTAAGAGGTAAGGGTGGGAAGTTGTGAGAGGGGAAGGAGATGGCAAGAACAGAGGGACAAGGCCAAGGGTGGAAGCTAAATGCAGTATATGCATCTCAAGTACCTCTGAAGCTCTTTGGACCCCTTGGTCTAGGCACGGACATCTTTCACTGATGAGGAAGAGCTGAGAACTGCTGCTGTCCCTACACCTGGCTGTACTGGATACAAGCTGGTGATAGTTAATTGCACCTGCCTATAGCTGTTCTTCACTGGCAAGCTCACAACATTTGACACAGGTAAAAATGCTCCCCCCACCCTGTCTCAAGGTGTGAGACAGAACCCTGAGTTTTTCAGGTGACTTTTGCTGTACTTTAAATGTTATGGTGTGTGCTCCCAGGAAGCTCAGAGCATGAGATAAATAATTTGAAGAGTGAAGCATGTGTGTGTCATACAGTAAGAAAAGATACAAGTATGAATGTGGGTCAATGAAAATGGATATTTGAAGATAGGCTGAGAAAACATTTTGTGTGTGTGAGTGGAGACCAGGGGGGTTTGCAGGCAATTACACAATGGTACAAACAGTAATCTCTGTGAGGGAAAAGAGAGGGACAGCAATGCTGGGAACATGGATGTAGGGGAGGATGGAGGAGGATTGGCATGTGTAACGTGAGTTTTGTCTGGAGCAGGAAGATCAGTGATGGATGATAAAGAAGTAGAGAAAACAAAGGTCTTGCTGGCAATCATTTCCCACCTTGGTGAGGAGTCTGGAGATGAAGGCTTCTGCTCTGCATCAGCTGCTGGGCAACAGAACTGGTGTAAAACAGTTTCATTCCTGTAAGAAAAAACAAACCACAGCGGGTCAGTGTTCACTTCACTCAGCAGAAAGCTCAAGGGAGAATGCCTTTTAGAACTGCTCCAAGGGGACAGTGACTCCCAGTGATACTGAAAGAGTAATCTAATAACATGAACATTTTTTTACTCCAAGAGAGAATGGGGCTGCCAGTTCTATTCCCTTACCTCACCTGTTCTGCTGCTGATGTCAACTTGTGGAGAAGAGGGAAAAAGTGCACAAACCAAAAGTCTTCCTTCTAGAAGCATTTGTTCCACAATACCATACATTTAATGAACACCAGTTTTGTCTGTCTTTAATTCTATGTCTTTTAGGTCAGAAACATGTCCTTAAATGTGTATGTTTCCTATAAATTGCAAAGTAGTTGATTTTTTCTTATTAGTGTCTAAATTACCTCTTCAGACATTTCTTGTGAGGCCTCCCCAGAGCACAGAAATGGCCTCAGCACATCACTGCTGGGCATTACCAGGAACAGTAGTGGAGAACTGATAGGACAAGGACAAGTAGGGGGACTAAGACCATGACAAAAGAAAGAGATCATAGAAGAGAAAAGGAAAGCCCTAAGAAGTAACCAACTTGAGCAAAACAGGAAAATGAAACACTAAAAATGTGTTTATTAGCTAAGAAAGGGAAAAGAGTTAATCCAAAGTGAGAAATCCTAGTGTTAAAGAAATTTTAGACACTGGGCTCTTGTTTACCATTAGATAGGTTTATTGCAAGAAATCAATTACAGTATTTGGTATCTTGAGCTTGATGCCTCAAAAAAGGGACCCCAAACAAAGAAGTCCCTGGACAATTACACCCCTATGACATAAACTCCCCACACATCATGTGACAGTCCAGATCAACAGCGTTACTGGGATCTGGGGTCTCCTTGTTCCTCATTGCTTTGGTGTTTTGTTACTTTCATTCCTCTTCATATCCTCCTTTAATCAATTTCAGAGGAGGTTTAGATCAGTTCTGTAGTCAGTGTGGCTTGGTTTGAAAGAAAGTTGTCTGCCAAAGAAGGTGGGAGCCTCCCTTTGAATGGAGAATATGACCTCCTTCCATCTGAATTATTCTAACTTTGACCTTGAGGGGCTTTCAGCCGAAGACACAGGGAAAGGACTAGCAGCAGTCCTTTCCTAGCGAGCGCATGTACAAGGTGGCGTGGCAGGGGCTCCATCTCCTCCCAGGCACAGCCAGCCCGGGAGCCCCTCACACTCCATCCCCTCACACTCCATCCCCTCACACTCCATCCCCTCACACTCCATCCCCTCACACTCCATCCCCTCCCGGGCACACCCAGCCCGGGAGCCCCTCACACTCCATCCCCTCACACTCCATCCCCTCACACTCCATCCCCTCCCGGGCACACCCAGCCCGGGAGCCCCTCATGCTCCGGGCACTTTGCCCACGCTGCAGTTCCCGGCGTGGCCGCGGCGGGCGGGAAGGCGGGCAGTGCTCGGCGCCTGCAGGGGGCGCTGTCCCCGTGGCCCTCACGCTGTGAGGGCGGGCGGGCCGGATGGCGAGGACGGGCGGCAGCAGGAATTTCACGGCTGGAATGGCAGGGCAGGCTGAGATGGAACAGCAACCGAGAGGTAGCAGAAACTCAGCAGCTGTGGCAGGAGCCACGGTGTCCCACCATGTAGGTAGTGTGTGGCTACAGTGTACCAAAAAATCCAGAGCAGTGCTGCTCCCCTGGTGCAGCTTCAGGCCATTTCCTCTGGTCTTGCCACCTGTTACTGGGGAGAAATGACCAACCCTACCCGGCTACAGCTTCCTTTCAGGGAGTTGTAGAGAGTGATAAGATCTCTCCTCAGCCTCCCTTTCTCCAGTGCCCTAAGCTGCTCCTCGTAAGCCTTGTGCTTCAGAGCCTTCAACAACTATAGACAAAAAAATTCCAGAGCAGTGGTAGAAAAACTGCAGGGCTGGGCAGCTGCAGCCTGGCTCCTGAACATGGCTGGGAGAGGCTCCCTTGGAGGGAAAAAGGGTTTGGGGTCCCAGGGTTTCCCCTGAGCGGGGGGTGAAGGGTCCTTTATTAATGAGGTATGGTGTTAATAAGGTCCCAGTGCGATGGCCACCCCCACAAGCACAGCTCCACTCGCTGTAGGAGAAGGCAGCAGGAGCTGAAGCCTCACAGTGGTGGTGAATTCTCCCCACGGGGACAGTAGCCTGATTCCCCTCTGATGCCGACAGTGAGAGAGACTGAGCAAGTGGTGGGATCGTATTTGAGTCTATATTCAAGCAAGCTCACACAAATACTCCAGCTCCTACATCCTATCACATTGCTCATTTACAAAGAATAATTTATATTGAAAAAGACCCTTAAGATCATTGAGTCTGACCATTACCCAACACAGCCAAGCGCACCACTAAGCCATGTCCCTAACCACCACATCAACATGTCTTTTAACTAACTTCAGGGATGGTGACTTCACCACTTCCCTTGGAGGCCTGATCCAATGCCTGACCACCCCTTCAGCAAAGAAATTTTTCCTAATAACTAATCTAAACCTCCCCTGGTGCAACTTCAAGCCATTTCCTCTGGTCTTGCCACCTGTTACCGGGGAGAAGTGACCAACCCCATCTGGCTGCTACTGCCTTTCAGGGAGTTGTAGAGAGTGATAAGGTCCCTCCTCAGCCTCCCTTTCTCCAGTGCCCTCAGATGCTCTTCGTAAGACTTGTGCTTCAGAGCCTTCAGCAACGATAAACAAATAGAATCTTTAGAACAATAGACACCCCACATTTCAGCCATTTCTAATTCAAGCCTTTACCTAAATGAACTACTCTGTTCTCTGCTTTTATTCAAATAACAGATTCACAACTTCAATTCCTAATTGCACACAAAGAAAGCAAACAAGAGGGAGGGAAAACATAGGGAAAAAGAGGAAGGAGCAAGGATGGACAAAAAACAGAGAAATAGAAATTTGTATATAGATGAGATGCCTTGCTAGTCAATTATTATGGTAGAAACACAAAGAAAAGTAAAAGGGAAACTGGGAAAGGAAGAGTGGTGTGAAGTTTCAGGACTTCAGGCTTAGTCTGCTGTGGGCATTTTAAGAAAAAAACATCTCCCAGATTCTCATCAGAGTGGGTAAACTCCGAGCACTGCAGCTGCAGTCAGCTCTTGACTTTTCTCACAATTTCTTATGTGTGCTCAACACCAGTGTTGGTTGTTTTCTGCTGAAACCAGAGTTGTCTTGAACCTCTGAGATGCTAAGATCTCTGGAATAGTTGTGCCCCTTACTACTATCAGATGCTGAGCATGCTCAAAGGCAGAAATCTGCCTCCAGGCCATGACTCTCATGGAAAATCCACCAGGGAGGGGGTGAGGAGCAGATACTGCCTGCAAATGGGTATTCCAAGCCTATGCTGAAAGCTCTTCCTGTGACTTGAAGCAGGGAAGGGTATCTTATTATTCCTATTAAATCCAAATTCCCCAAATGCCCAGGAGAAGTTTGAGTTCTGGGGCTGTTTGCTCTCTTCTTTTACAGCTTGCTTCTCCTCTTTTGTGCTCCTCAGGCATACACCACAGGGACTGACACCTTGAGACCACTCCTGTTCATTTTCCTCTTTCTTTCCATCTCTTGATCCTGCACATATCTGATATTTTGCAAATCCACGCCCTCACTTATGCATCATAGCACCCGGAAAGGAGCAGGGGGAGGGTTAACCTGTGGAGGAAGATGACCCATTCCCTCCTGAAGAGGTTGTGTGTGAATTGTTATCAGGACAAAGCAGTTTTAATCTGGGTGCAAAAGGCAAATGTCCTAGAGCCTCACTGCCATTTCAAAGCCTCAAGGAAGTGTTCCAGGAAAGCAACTGTCTTCCTAATGCTGTGAAGTCTTCAGGTAAGATGTTATTTTTGTTGATGCTGTGATTCAAGAGGTGCTTGTCAGGGTTGTAGTGTCTGGTGGCTACCACGATTTTATCCCCCTGTAGTGTTGTCAGCCTTTGCAAGTTTGAGGTTTGAAGTGAGCCTTGAGATATTTAGTATCTGTCATAGGTCAGGGTAATACTTTTGATGGTGGTTTGTTTTTTGGGTTTTTTTTTTTCTTTTCCTTTCTATGCTGTCTTTGTGTTGTGTTTTAAAACAAATCTTACTTCATAAGCCAGAAAGGCTATATAACTTGAATGTGTGGCCTCTGAGGAGGTAAACCCTAGAAAGCATGAGTCTTGTTTTCACCTTCGAAAAACAAAGAGGGAAGCAATGTAACTTCATTGTTACTTTGGGGTGTGAATCTGTAATTTTGTTTCTTTTTCAATACTTCTGGTAGGTGGCAATGGTCGACCAATTAAAAGGGTAGATTCAGGGCTTGCTTTTTTGCCCGCATTTTCCTGTACATCCTCTGCTTTGCCTTCCTCAAACCATTGCAGAGACTGAAATTAAGCACACACTATCGTAGGCAGATCAGGCAGGTGATTGTGGAGATAATTCTTCCCCATCTGCTAGGATACTGCTGAACTGCTCTGTTTCCAATTTATTGCATTAAAAATAAACAAATTATTATCTCTTGGGCTGTACACTGATAAAAGCTTGGAAGAGAAAACCAGGGAGAAGAAAAGGTGCTCTGGGTGAGTTGGATGGCACAAGAGATGAAGGGGTTGAGGGAGAGGAGGAGGAGGAGGAGGAGGCATGCTGGGGTAGTTGCTGCCAGCACTGAGACCAGTGTGTGGAGGGGCAACAGAGGACAAGGGCAAGCACGGATGCAAAGGGAGGACTGAGAACAGCCTGAGCCTGTCAGTGTCTTGCTCCATCTAGCTGGGATGCACGCTCCGGAGGCAAGGATTTGACAGTCCAGACCTATCTTAAATGCAGAGATAGCTTGGCCCAGACGTTACCCGTGCTGTCAATTGAAACATTAGCCCTCTCTCCTCTGAGAGAAAACAGCTGACTGAATTTTATTCAGTTGTCTTTAACATTGCTCCTGACAAGAGGTGTCCTGCAGCCAGCTGCCTGCAGCCTTGATAGGGGTATCTGTGAATGAACTGTCCAGCCA